CCCCCCGCCCCGAGCCTTTCTTGGACTCCCCCTCTCCTTCTTTTTCCGCAGTGGGGCTTCCTCGGTACCAGCACCACCCCAGCCCGGTGTGCGACCGGAAGGACTTCGTCCTCAATTTCAACGGCATCTCGTCCTTCCACCCATCGGCCAGCAGCTCCTACTATCACCACCACCACCACCACCACCACCACCAAAGCGTCTGCCAAGACATCAAGCCCTGTGTGATGTAAACGCGCACTCTTCAGCGGAACGGAAGGAGCCGGCGGGCGGCCGCAGGCGGAGGGCGGTGCGGGGCCGCAGAGGCGCCCCCAAATCCAGCGCGGCCGGGGCAGGGCGCGGAATAACACCACGGCCCCGAGGCCCGCTCAGCCCCCGAAAGTACCCTGCTCCCGTGGCGCGCCTGATGGAAGCCAGCGCAGAGACGCCCCTTTGCCCCGCTGGCCTCGCGCAGCGCGATCCTCCGCAGTCGGGACCGGAGCTTCGTTGCAGCCGGGACGTTTGCCTGATCCTTTCCTGCCTCTTTGAAACCGAAGCCCCCCTCCCCCCCACCGCCGGACTGATGCCTTGCAGAAGCCTCCCCTCCGCAGCGAGCCCCTCCGTGCCCTCTCCCGTAGAGGGACCAACCCCGTATAGGACTGCTGCCTTACTGGGGACAAGTTCACAGTTGCAAGCCCCGCGCATAGCACAAGAGGGGAGGTCCACTGCTCCCACCTCGCCTGCCCCTCGCAGTCAGCCCGACGGAGACGATGGGCGCTGAAGTCTGAGGCTCCGGTTAATAGACGCCCGGCCCGAGGGGCCCCCGAAGTGCTCTCTCCCCCCTCTCCCCCCGAGAAAGGAAACGCCTGCTTAGACCGGGCTGCGAGCGCCCTGAGCCGGCGTTGGGCTGCACAGCCTTCCTCGGCCCGAGGCCCTCCGGAGAAATTAGGTCACGATTCCCACCCTCCTTATTTTATAAGATGGTGGTTTATGCGGTGGTTTCTGCAAGTTCGTAATGAGGCTGCCCTATTCCTTTGCTAGCCCGTGTTTTCAAAAGACGAAGCACATCATGTTTTCCGTTTCATTTTATTTTATGTCTAGGTGTTTTATTTAAACAGCAAAATTTAAAAGGTTGGATTCGGACTTGGCACAAGCCTACTGAAATCAATAGGATTTTAAATGAAACTCCATTAAATTCTGTTGAATGATTCTAAGGATGAGTAAGTTTGGTGCCAACCCACTGAAAATGTTTGGCAAGCAGCAGCCAACTTGGTTGGAAGTTGCCCTCTTTTCATTACACAAAACTTAAAAAAATTTTTTTAAAGATGTTCTTTGGAGTAAAATGTGTCCAAGTAACTCAGACAGAATCTCAGCCACTGAGCTCAACTTCGTCTATGATCTAAACGAAGTACGTTGTACTCCCATTTCATTAGCATCGCATCGTCATTTACTTGACAACCTCATTTCCCACATGCATATTCAGAGAAGGGCAAATAAGAATTGAAAGTCTTCTAGCGGCAGGATCCACCAATTGGTGACTTCAAGCGTTGCCAAGCCATCGTTGAGGCGATGTAAATAGTCCTTATTGCAAGTCTTTCGGCACAACGACGGCTGGCTGGCGCTCGAAGACGCTAGTGCGAGATCCATCCTGCCTCTGGTGTTTTTGCTTCAGCGTCCTGAAGAGTTCCTTCCTCTGTGTGAAGGTCTCAGGAAGAGAGGCGAGGCATTCTTTTCTTTACTGTCATAGTAGCCACGGGATACGCGGTTAGGAGGTAACAAAAACGAAAGTCTTTTTGTAGCAGAAAGCCTTTGGTCGTTCCCAACCTCAAGGCTTCTTTCTGTCTTGATTTGTATTAAATGCTTTATTATTCCAGTGTGCCGCTGAGGGAGTCCGCTGGCATCCACCAGCATTATTAAGCAGCACTGATCTCGGGGTGGGATGTGAGTCCTGCCACCAGCATCTCCAAATTTCCGGGTTTGGTTAACTCGTCTTGTCTTCAAATATTGCAACATTACCACGTTTGGGGTTAGTTTGTTTTCTATTTTTTTTCCTTAAGCGTTTATATCACAGTTGCTGTTGTTTTGTTTTGTTTTGTTTTTAAGAAAAATGAATTGAAATAAATCTCGTGTATACTCGCACACTATCGCTTTTCAACCGGAGAGTATAATTTGCACTTATGTATAACGTTTGTTGGTTTGTCAGAAATTGTGATGTACAAAGTTCTTGGGGTGGGTGTTTTTCCCCCAATAAAATGTATGTGACACGTGCTTATTTTCCTTTCCCTTGGCATGTAACTCTCCCCCTTTATATCGTGAAGAGCCCAGTTTAATCCTTGAAAAAAGCGGGAGAAATGGCGGGGGAGCCACTGGTCTTGCTTTTCAAGGGAGAGACCCCGGCTTTACGCAGATGTTACGGGCTTCACTTTGGGCTGGATGGGAAGAGAAGCGACCGGAAAGACTCAGCTTGGACATTTCAACCCGAGGATGCATTCTTTGGGTCACAGCGGTCATTTCTTCTCATTCCAGCTTCAGGCGGGAATCCACGACCAGGGACAAATACGCGGATTCCCTTTTTCGTTTACTCTGGGGCCGAAGCGCAGATTACTTCCTCGGAGCCCTTTATGTGGAGAGAACTTTCTCTCTGGGATTTACAAGGTGCGTTTAGAACAGAGTAAATCGTGGCTTGCAAATGACAAGGGTATCACCTCTAGGCTGGCAGGGGATGATGGGGATGTGATCCAGCATCTTTGGAGGGCAGCAGGTTGGAGAAGGCTGTTGCTCCGGAATCGTCCTCTGTTCCTTCAAAAAAGAGATTTCTTTCAGCGGATTAGAAAATCGCCCCGGAAGAGACAGTGTAGCCTCCCCAACCAGGCCCCCTTCAAAAGGGTTGCACCAGAGCTGCCATCACCAGAACAAGCATGTGCTCTGGCCATGGATGATGGGAGTTGTAATCCAACACAGCCGAATGGTTTCAAGGCGGTGGAAAGCTAAGACACGCGGGCACCTCTATCTTGATTATGACTAGTGAGTGGGCCCAGAGCTCCACTCAACTCCAAATAGGTTTGTTCCCTTCTGCCCCGGAGACTTTCTGTTCACTTGTTAGTCAAGGAGATGCTGCTGAAAGAAAAACAGCTGTGGAAATCCCATCGAACATCTTGCCCAATTTACAACATTAATCTACATTGTCTTTACCCAACCTGGCGCTCTCCAGATGCACTGGACTACAACTCCCTTTCATCTGCTGTAGTGGGGGTTGCTGCCCACCAGCTCCAGGGGCACCAGATTCGTGGAACCAGATTTACAGGCCCAGTTGGAATAATTAGGAATTAGCCCCACCAGGGTGTCCTCAGGGTGTGGTTAGAAAGTCAAAATGGTGACCCCGATGGTGCAATTGAAGCTCTGTCCACTTTTTATGTGCACCACCATCTTGAGTTTTTTGGCCACCCCTGAGGACACCCTGGTGGGGTTAATTCCTAATTATTAGGAATTAGGACAACCCTGAGCCTCAGGGATACCTGCCTACCTCGAGTTAAAGACACATGTTAATGTTCTCCTAACGTAGGAGGAGCCCAGAGCTTCCTTACAGATTTGAGCTTTGATGGCTTGCCGAACAATTGGTGAAAGCTTGTAGCAGCCAGGATAATCATCCCTGGTGTCGCTGTGGCTCCACCCCTTATTCAGGCCATTTATCCTGTAGCGCTTTAGAAAGCAGACAATGGGCAGGGTTGTGCCTTAATCTCCCAGCACCAAATTTAAATTGCACGATCCAGCCAGGACCAATGTGATACTGGTTGCTGCCACTCTGGAGCTGAACTGCATTGAAAACCATAGGATTTACTGCTAAAACTGAACTGCCCTGCCTAGTTGTAATCAATGACATTGACTTCCTTCTGGTTGGGTGCCTTCTCCAACTGGGTGTCCTCCCGGTGCAGTGTGCAGACTTCAACTCCCAGAATCCTCAGCCAGGATTACCACTGCTGAGAAATCTGGGACTTGAAGTCCATACATCTGGAGGGCCTCCGGACTAGCTTGGATCGCACTGGCCTGATCTTCCAAAACCCCATCAAGATCTGATGTGACAGCCTGGATTTAGAAGTAAGTCCCACTGCTTTCGGTGGCATAAGATTTCCTCCTCAAATTAAAACACAGGATATTTTCATAGGAGCAAGAAAAAAAATGTGAATGTCTTAGCATACCCTAAGACGTTTTGGACTACAACTCACAGCATTCCCAGCCAGCAGAGTCACCCATGTTGGCTGGAGATAATTCAAGTTGTACTCCACACCTTCTCCTCAGTCCGATATGACTTATGCTCCCAGAAAATTTGGCAATATTTGGCAGCGGGCCTGGAAATAAAACTCAGATGTTGGGTAGGGCAGGCTGTTTAGTTAAATCCACAAAGCACCTTGGTAGCGTCAGCGTCCACGTTCCTCTCTCCATCTGGCATGATTGAGACTAGATGTGAGTTTCAGTCCAAACCTCTTTCATGCAGCTAAAGCATTAAGTTCTGCTGATTGGAATTGGTGCTCAGTTGATTTACTTTTTAAAAAGAGACACCCTGATCCACAACAGAAAGAGGAGCCATCAGTGGATTCATAGATTAGGGAGTTCAAGTCCAAAATTATTGGATAAAAATGGTTTAGGCTTGAATTGGGGCAAATTTCCTGCCCTGTACTCCTGATCTCTCCAAGCTTCTCCCCACCTTTTGATTTCACTCAGGCTTCTCTTATGTTTAATAAAATGGACCAATTATCCCTAACAAGAAAAAAAAAATCCACCCAGGAACTTACTATTTAATAGAAGTACCTCCAATCTTGTATTTCCAAACAATAGGGAGAGAATTTGTGCATTAAAAAAAAATTCTCCCTATTTATGTTCAAGCACGACACTTCATGGGCTTCTCTGAGGCCTGCTGTACATTATAAAGTCAGTTTCAGAGGACGCTTCGACCACAGTGCAGTGTTTACATTCTTCTCAAGGCAAGCCTGTATGGACGTAATTTATAACCTAAACACTCGAACGTAACTTGTTTATATAGAGCATGACAAGAGCTCAAAGACCGAAAAACTGAAATTGCCCAACCCGGAGTTCCCGTGAGGCTCCACTGCCCCCTGATGGACATATGCAACATATGAAAGACACTATTAAAATCTTACCTACAATATCCCTAAAAGTCTGGAAGTGAGGCCACAGTGAAACTTAACCACCAAGACATTCATGGTTAAATGGATGTTTTCCTGGATTGGTTTCTTGGGGTTAATTAGTTACCTTTGTGTGCGCGCGTGCACATTCGCATGTGCTTTCAAGTCAATGTTGACTCCTGGTGCCTGCCTGGACAAGTCCCTGTAGTTTTTTTGGCAAGATTTCAGAAGTGGCTTGCCATTGCTGGCTTCCTAAGACTAAGAGAGACAGACTGGCCCAAGGTCACCCAGCTGGCTTTGTGCCTAAGATGGGACTAGAACTCAGGGTCTCCCGGTTTCTAGCCTAGTGCCTTTAACCACTGCACCAAACTGGCTCTCTTACCATATCTACCCACCCCTTTATAAGTAGCTCGCTTGTTGAATGGGTTCACCAAAGTAAAACCAGATGGGCTGGACAGAGAACCAGGTGATCTTGTGCTGTAGATGATGACCTTTGTGTCTTGTGAGCATCCTTCTCTTCCCTGACAAGTTGCAGTGCTGTGTGTGTTTGTATTTTAGAGTGTTTTTTCTCAGTCTAGGAGTCCTTGCTGCCATTTTAAACACTTCATGGACAGTATCCAGATGTGTGCCTTCTTCATTTTTTGAAGTTTGTGAAAGTGCAAGGTAGCATCCAGACCATTCATTTCCATTCACGCTTTGTGGCAAAGAAATAGTGAGATCATCATGACTTCAATTTCTTTCTATCTGCCCAGCTATCCTCGGTCTCTCTTCCTTACAACTCCACCTGCCACAGCAGTAGCTGTGGGTATGCCCGTACCAATGCACATACTATTAATTTATTTTCCTAGTGGCATGTCAGACCGCCAAATATACCTTGGTTGCCCCTACCTTCCTGAATTGACAGTATGTCCCTGGGCTTTATAACAATCAAGTAAGCTGTTATTGGCAGGAAACTTTTATTACAGGTGCTCCTCACTGAACGACCATTCATTCAGTGACCAAACTTGCAATGGCACTGAACGCATGGTTCTTATGACTGGTCCTCAAAGTTCTGGCTATCGCAGTGTCCCTGTGGTCATGTGATTGCAATCTGGCTTCCTACAACTTCCTATAAGCAAAGTCAATGGAAAACCCACTAGGAGGTCACAAATGGCGACCACATGTACTCCTCACTTAAAAATTGATTGTGTGGGATTTGCTTAACAATGGCAACCAGGAAGTGCTGGAACTGCCTTCGCTAAGCTATGCAGTCACGTGAAATGTATTTTACAACCACATGGCTTAGGATGGTGGTGAGTATGCTAGGGCTACCAGGTCTGGGCTGCAATAATCCAGATGATCCCTTGATGGCACCAAAGAAATACAGTGCTATCTCGGCTTCTATCTAGAGATCATCTAGATCTTTGTAGCCCGAACTGATTTCTGGATCTTTCTGCCTGTGTGGATGATCACTGTAAACAGGAAAAGGGGACAAAAAGAAAATCAAATATAGATGAATGACTAAACAGTGACAACAAAATCTGAACGCTATGGGGAATTTCTGTAGTTACCATAATGGCCTTTGCATATTGTGCCTTAAAACATCTGTCTGAAACCCAGCATAATGGCTATCAGCCCTGAGAACTTCCAGGAATGGGTGATGAATCTGTGAAATCCTCCATCAGTCTCTGGAAAGCTTTCTTCACAGTTCTCCTGCCCCTCTTGCTGTTGGTTCACCAGGTCCACAACAGAGAACTCACTTCCTCCCCTGGAAGCTCTAACTGTGCTAGGCTTATGTTTAACTCCTGTGGAAAGCAGAGGCATCCTGCCCAGGACTCCTGTCTGGCTTTTGGGCATCCAGGCTGTTGTTTGGAAAGGTGCTGCCACAAAGTGTGCACAAAGGTGCGTGTAGGTCAATGTGAATGGGTGCATGTATTAGCCACCCCCAATGCCCTTAGCAGGCATCTCCATGTTTTCCAGTCTCTCAAAGCTCTTGCATTTCCAGGCTAGTGACTTAACATGCCCCCCCCCCCAACTTGCTATGTCTGCAAAGATCACTGTAGCCATACTTCTGACTCTCTGGAAAGCTAATTCCATCTGGCTACATAGCATCTGCCCAAGACTGATGCGAAATTGTGCTGTCCTTTC